GATACTGTCTTTTTGGTTAAACAATGTCTTTGGGCTTTTGGTCTTTTGGTTCTGTGGGGACAGACTTGTGTCTTCAGAAAGAGGAGACGTAATACATTTGACTTTGATACGCTTTTATCATTTTTCCAAGACAAATACCAAAGTGTGAACTCAGGGTTTTTTGGAATGCAACCCTGTTCTTCCTTCCTTCTCCACCATCTTAATTGTAATAAATAATACTTAATACGAGCTTTTTGGTTAGTGACCATGGTCATATAATAGTGTTAAAAATTATGAAAGAGGAAAATTCTATATTAAAATAAGAAGTCTTTCATTTTATGTTTCGTATGTGATTCAAATATTTATTAATAAATAAAGGGTATTTATTCCTTGTTCACTGAAGTTTATTTACCATTGCCTGCTAGAACTTGGAATGTAACCTTGTTGCACAGAAGAGGCTAATTCTGATGTTGTACTTGTTGCTATGTTTAGGCAAGGAGAGCACTGAGAGCATTAAAAGGGTTGGTGAAACTTCAAGCATTGGTGAGAGGTCACATTGAGAGGAAGCGTACAGCGCAGTGGCTGAAAAGAGTGCAAGCACTCTTGCATACACAGACACAAGTCTCTGCAGGGTTGGCTCTCCATGCCTCACCTTCAAGTGCAAAGTTATCTAGCCACTTCCATGTTAGTATTAGTAAATTGCTTTCTCCGTTGCCTTTCCCATCCTTTCATTGGAGATTCAAAACCATTTTTATCTTTTACTTGAACTATATAAGTTGATATCAGTTGTCAAAAGACAAATGTAGCAAGTTGGTTTGCACCTGTGGAGGTTAACTCATTCTCTTGTTTACTTATATATCAAACGGTTCAGCATCTTAATTACTCCTGATATGATTGTGCACCGAAAATGATATGATCATGTGATTTTCGAATTACCATTTGCAGGGTCCGGAAACACCAGAAAAATTTGAAAGCCCCATCAGCTCTAAGAGCATGAAATACGAGCAATCACCTGTATTCAAGGTACTTTATTTTCTTGCCAGAATTTACCCAAGTGTGAATTTTATGCCTTGTGAAGTTGTCAATTCTTATGGAAGCATCTGTGTCATTGCAGCGAAATGGCTCCAAATCCTGTGTCCAGATCAATGGCTATCAAGAGATATGTGGTAATAGATTGGAGAATCAAGTAACTGAACAACCATGGAGCTCGGCAAGATCATTGATAAGAACATATAGTTCCAATGATGAAAGAAATGACAGGGTTCTTGAAGTTGATTCTGGAAAACCACACTTTACAAAGCGTAGAAACCTCTCTTACTCCACAGTTTCTGATCATTATAGCAAGAGTTTGAACAGCACAAAGGAGTCAACATCTCTTCAATCTGGTCAAAGTCCATGTGGTGAAGTTCAGTCCTACAGTTACAGCTCACAAAAAGTCAACGAGATTGAGGATAGTCCATTCTGCACTGCTGACAACAGTCCACAATTCTTATCAGCCACTTCCAAAGATGATGGCTTCAAAAGAAGCCCTTTTACTCCCACAAGGAGTGATGGCTCTAGAAGCTACATTCGTGGTTATGCTGACTACCCAAGTTACATGGCATGCACTGCGTCTTCAAAAGCAAAGGTCAGATCTTTGAGTGCCCCAAAACAAAGGCCAAATTGTGAGAGGCCTGGTTCATCAAATAGATACTCTCTTAATGGATTTGACATGTCAAGATTGGCCACACAAAGGGCAATGCATGCAAGCTTCACCAACAAGGCATATCCAGGTTCTGGTCGTTTGGACAAACTTGGTATGCCTGTGGGGTACAGATACTAAGTTGTGTTAATGTTTAAGGTTATGTGTCTTCTTTTTTCATAGTCTTAACATCTGATTTTGCTAACTTCTTGTACTTTGGGCTACCATTGCAGTTTTAAGTGTTAGCATTAGAAATCTATTTCGAAATTTCAGTGCATGATGCTGCTGCTAAGTGTCTTGGATGGACCGTTCAAAGGAATTATTATCTTAGCCTTTCAGTTTTACCTTCCACGCTTCATCCATTCATAATTATTTCTTTTACCGTGAGATGGGGCTAACATTGTTAAATGAATCCTTAAATTTATATAAAATCAAATGCACTCAATTTCGCTAAATTTGAACTGAGATAGGTTAGTATGCAACTCAACAAAAAAAGTTTTAAATATAATCAAATTATTTTCTATATCTTTGTTTTATAAATGATGATAAGATGACATACATTTATATTTATTTTATTTGGCATATCATAAGAATAAACTGATTATAAAAAAATAATTTTTTTATACTTTTAAGAAAAAGAAGGAAAAGTAAAATGAAAAAATATCAAATAAATATAAAAAATTTATTTGTTAAAATATCGTTTTTTCTTTTTTGAAAATATACTAAAAAGTGAGGATGCTAGAATTTAGGAGGAACTTTAAAATAATTTTTAACTTGTTAAGATATTGATTTGATAACAAATAATATTTAAGAAGGCTTTTATTGCAGTCTTAAAAGGATTTATAACTTAATTCAGTTAGTCTTAATATAACATGGTATGATTTAACACTGGAAGTGCTCAGTAAATTCAAACAATTTATATATTAATAATTTAAAAGCAAAGGAACAAGAAGGTGTCGTGGTGTAGTTGGTTATCACGTCAGTCTAACACACTGAAGGTCTACGGTTCGAGTCCGGGCGACGCCACTGAGTAATGCTTTTTCATTTCTTTTTGGTAACTTTTTGCGCGTGGAGTAATCAACCTGTAATATCTGGTAAAGAGCCAAATTCATCCCTATAAAATATTAAATATTTTAGTTACATGTTAATCAAGTATCGTATTATTCTTATTCTTTTAAAATTTAAACGTAATTTTATTCATATAAAAATTTGATCTATCGTGGTTATTAACGGTGATATAAAAAATGTGTTTAGGTTTTAGAGAATCTAAAAATAGATTTAAAGTTTAGAAGAACAAAATAATGCATAACAATTTTGGGGATGTGTTTAATATTTTAGGAAGAAGATTTAACTCTTTAATAAAAATATACTGAGGACATGTAAATACGTATAGCACACACTCTACAGATGTAAAAATTGCAGCTAAAACCACATTATATTTTTAGTTAATTTACTTTTAGCGTGTTCTCATTTCCAATTCGCTAATAACAGAAAAACTCTGATCTGGCCTTTAAAAGATTGATGCAACTTTTTTAAGATTGCCTATTATTTTGGAATTAGAAATATATAAAGATGAGTTATAAGTGTAGGTATATTAAATTATTTTTATTAGCTTTCTATCGTTTGTTTTCAAGCTTGAGATTTGATCCTTTCATGTTACTACAATAATGTTATGGTCAAACAACAATGATATACGTTGTTCTTGTTTTCTATGTGACTTATTTCCGCATTGATGTCTTGTTTTTCAAGTTTAATCTGCCTCGATTTGTCCTTACGATGTTGTACAAGACAATGATGGTAATTAGGTGGTAAATAGAAATGTTTTGGATACGTTATTTGAATTGAGGAGTATAAATTAGAGAATTAAATCAGCATTTTGTATCCAAGGTGCTTTCCCTGAACTACCAACTGATGAGATAAATATGCTTTGTGAAAAGAAGAAAGGGAATGTTGGGTTGGATTGCCATATATGTGGGTTTAGAAAAATCTTATCATTTACTAAAATGGGATTTTGTCGTGGACACCCCTCGTGATATTGGTCTTCCAGTTTTTTTATATATTTGATGGAGAATTGAATTTCATCATCTAACTTTTAGGTCCTTTAGAATATGGAGACTCTCTTATCTCTCTCAAATGCGATAAGCAAGACATTCTATCAAATGCGATAAACAAGACATATTAACGACTTGATTTATAGTCTACGAGTCGGTTTTAACCTATTCTTGAATAAATTCATTTTAAGATATTTCCAATTGAAGAGTAAAAAAAGTTTTAATTCTCAAAAACTTTTTCAAGTGAAAGGTCAAGATTAAAATAAGTTTAATTTTACTATAAAACTTTAATTAACTCTTAAAAATAATATCTTCAGCATGGATCATATATCAAGTTAAATTGTCTCAAACCTAAGGTTAAGACGGACCAACCTCGAAAGTCAAATAAACACTTTTAAACAAAAATTTCAAACAAATTCTCTTGGACTAAGGGTCAAGATAAACTAACCTAAGCTAAAGATCGAGACGAAAAAAAATTGATATTCGTCGAACCAGTTGAAGGTCAATAAAGAGTCACATCAAAGGTCAAGATGGACTAGTCAGGATGAAGGTCAAGATAGACCAACCCAAATCGAAAATCAAATTGATCGACCTAGGTCGATGGTTGAGACATGCTATCTAAATTAAAGATCAAGATTATTGCAACTTAAAAAAAATCAAAATAAGTCAACTTAAACTAAAAGTTAACTAAGCTGACCCAAGTTAAAAGTCAACCACAGTTAAAGATCGAAACAAACTCCTTCATATTGAGATTAACCTAAAACAAAAATATAATTCAAAATGAAAGTCAAGACAGATCTAAATCGAAAGTCTAATTATATATTCTAAAAAATTGATATTCTTTTCATGTTTGAAAAAAAGTCCATAAATTGACTTGGACCTACAAAACTTTTGTTAATATTTTGACCCTGTTGACTTTTGCAATGTTTGATTTTTTGGATTTTATAGACTTTTTTTACCTCAACCAACGTGAACAAGTGTACAAGGGTCAAGTACTATGGAGGCGTACCAAATTAACAATTCTAACCATGTTGATGAAAGTGGGAGGGAAATTTAAGGGTAAAACCTAAAGATCTGTGGGTACAATTTATTATATCTAAGTATAGATGTGGTGATGATGATGTGGCATAACATAAGGCCTTGAATATTAATCTAACAGTAAAGATTTGTTGACTGCAACAAATGCTGTTCGTTCTTTTTCCTTCCCATAACCCCATTGTTAAAAGTAACTAACCCCTACATTCTTTTACAATTGATGTCATAAATAAGTACTATACACAGATAAAACATGTTCAAAAGTGACCCAGTTCATCCAAGCTAAAAACAACGTAGTTAAAGAAGGCGAAGCATTGATGTATCAATGGGCATCTGAACATAAGAAAATATAGCTACATCATTAGAACATTTTACACTATCGAAAATGTGAAAACAGTGACAACTCACTTGCACTCAAGACCAGCTCATACAGCTTTAGCCGTCTCTCGAACTAGGGAAAGCTTAGCTAATAAACCACACAATTGAAGATAAGATCACACCATCACAAATTCTCATATGAGCAAACCCAGTTTCCTGCAATTTGAAGACTGTCAGTCAGATACTTTATGCACGTGTGTGTGTAAAAGCGAATAGATTATTAGCTAACTTCATGAATTCCAATTTCAGATTACTCAGCCATATCATTAGTTTTTATGATACGAAAAAGGGTCGTGATGATATCAGTGGGAGAATATCCTAAATCATATAGTGCTTGAGGCCCGAACAAGCATTCATCAAAGTTCCCTTCAATCACATTACGTACATATTTTTCACATTGCAGTGGATGTGGCTGGTCACAAACCTGAAACCAACCATAGATTTCAACAAAACCAATGACAAACTGTGGAAAATACAAATCATGGTTGATTTAACCTTAAAAACATTTGCTTGGTTAACAAAT